TCCCATTCCTCAGACGACATGTCCATCCTGGGCCTCCTGCAGTGCCACAACGATGCCACCCGAAGGTTGCAGGAACAGCAACTCATATTCCGCTTGGGAACCCTGCAGCCCAATGGTATCAATGTGGATTTCACAAGTTTCAAAATCTCCCCTCCCCCTACCGCATCCCAAAACCAGTCCAGCTCGTCCCTGCCTCCCTAACCTGTTCTTCCTCCCACCTATTCCCTCCTCCCACCTCAAGCTGCACCTCCATCTCCTACCGACCAACCTCATCCCGCCCCCTTGACCTGTCCGTCCTCCCTGGACTGACCTATCCCCTTCCTAACTCCCTACCTACACTCACCTTTACTGGCTCCATCCCCGCCTCTTCGACCTGTTTGTTTCCTCTCCACCTATCCTCTCCTCTATCCCTCTTCTTTCTGCCTCCCACTCTCTCCCTATTTATTTGGGAACCCCCTTCCCCTCCCCCTTTTCTGATGAAGGGTCTAGGCCCGAAACGTCAGCCTCTCTGCTCCTGTGATGCTGCTTGGTCTGCTGTGTTCGTCCAGCCCTGCACCTTGTTGTCTGGGAGAATATAAATCCTGTTTGACTAAATCCAGTTAAATCACAGCAATTAATGCTTTTGGCTATACACCCATCCATTCATATTTGGCTCTTAGGGAGCAAAATTCCCAGCACGGACCTGTTAATAGTGAATGACCTGTTTCTGTTCAGTAAATAGTATGTAATTCTTCCAGGAACCACAGGATGAGACAGTCCAGAATTTTGCCAGGTCATCCAGGTGTTAAACCTAAGCTTCAACGACAGACCATTGTCTCAGAATTGCAGTTCCAGTCTCAGAACTATTATTTTATCTCTTCAAGTGGATATGACTTATTAACATTCATTTTTAGTAAATTCTGGAACACTGATTCTTCCTTCAATCAATTCCATCAATATAGACTGAATAATCTTTCGTGTTATTTGCTGTTTGTGCAACCTGCTGTATACAAATTGGCTGCTGTACTTGAGCTTGACTTCATAACATCAGTAAATTTCAAGAGTAAATTTGATGGGGACCAATTATTTTGGAATATTCTGAAGGCATGATAAACCATGTGAATTAAAGTGTTTTTCCCCCAATTCTATGATAACAACTTGGCCTTTTTTTAAAAAATGTATGCAAGTGACAAACTAAGGTGGCTCCGACACTCCAGTATATTCTAAAATTTAGGCTATGAATATGAACTACAAAATCAGATGTATATTAAAATATTCTGAAAACAAAGGCCTTCCATACCTGTGCTACACTACCATCAGATAAGCCTATGCTGGGCTCGTGTTCATGAGGGCTATTTGGTCCATGGCCAAGAAAGGGAGTGTAGGCTCCGCTAAATTCATCATTCCGTACTGAATGGATGAGATCATTCAAGTATTTGTAATACAAGTTACTAGACAAGAAACCAGGTAAGTAAACCTGAAAGGCAGAAAAGAACAGGTTATTTATAAATGAAGATGAAGAAAACAATCTGGATATTGATCAATATTTACCATCAAGTACTGCAGTCAACATTTACAGATTGTCCTTGTTCCAAAAAGTCAGCCAATTGGCTCATCATATTTGTGCTTCACCCCATTCTGTTCCACCACTAAATTTGTCTAGTTATAATTCAGTTACTTTGTACTTCTGAATTTTCAGGTGCCAAATTGAAGACAAAGTCTAATGCACTTAATAGCTCATAAATCAATTGTACCTTCTTTACTAATACATTCATACAATGTTGACAAAACCAGCATTTAATGTCCATCACTAATTGTCCTTGAGAAGATGGCAGCAAATTACCTACTTAACAACGGAATAGCTTGACAGGGCATTTCACAGACAACCACGCTGCTGAGTCTGGAGTCAATCCAGGCCAGACTTACAAGGACGCAGATTTTTTTTTTGGCCAGAAGTCACTGGTGAATCAGGTTTAAAGGTTTACAGTCACCTCTCGTAATAATAACCTTGTTTGCCAGACTCATAATCCTCAGCTGCCGTAGTGCAGTAACATAACCACTACTCCGCAGTAGCCAATAATGTGCAAAAACTCATTATCAACCAAGTTCGGAAGCTCCATTTATACTATAAAAACAAAATTAAACATTGAATAAAGAAAACAGAAGTATGCACTAAGCACAAACAAAGCCCATGCTTATGTCTGCAGTCTTCCTCAGAAAATATTTCTAAAAGTTTTCCAAAAAGTTCAAACTAAGTCTACTGTGCACGTTAAATAACAGGAATAACACTGATTATCATTCAATTTAGAATATGGTTTACAGAAGTAAACACAGTTAAGGACTGTCCAAACTCACTTTTTCCATTGTTGTCCATGCTTGCCTTAATGGAGTGGTGAAACAGTCAGGGAGTGGTCCTCCTTCTCTGCAGATATTTGATTCTATTTCTAATCGGACAGTATCATCAAATCCTAATGGGTGTGTAGCTTGCAAAGAAAAGTACCTATAAACAAAAAAAAAACACCAATTAAATGGTGGTACTACAGGTTTTTCTTGCAATTCTACATGATCTAACTTGATAAGCTCGCCCATGTAAAATACAAAAAACATAAATGTTACAAAAAGACCAGAGGATCAGGGTACCATGGCGCATTTGTTCTGGTGAGGTTGCATTGACTGCAAAATGGCAACAGAAAGTTTAGCTACCAATTATATGGTTCGCTCAAGGGCAGGAGAAAAAAAAACTGGTGTCCTACACACTCACCATGTATTGAAATGAAACTTGAAGACAAAAAGGGATATACAAAACCTGTAAATTAGATTATGCTATTCATTGAAGTTTTTTTTTTCCTAACAGTATAATCCAACGGCAATAGCTCAGTGCTCCCCTTTAACTAAATTAGAAGTCACATTTCCTGTGTACCTCATCCTCTCAACATTATCTTTGATGTTTTGTTTTATTTTAGGCTTCTTCTACAAAGTTGAACTATAAAATACAATTCTCAACCTGTCATGGTTTCCACACTAAATGTGGTTATTTGTTCTTTCATACTTACTTATCATATAAGATCATGGCATCATTCTGTGCTTCTTGACCATCATATTGCCCGCTTTTAGCAGCCAGTTGAGCTTGGAAGTTGTCTGCAGCCAACCAAAACTGCAGGATATTTACAGCTTCTTCTTTCTCCATGTACTAGAAAGAAAGTAAGGATTAAAGAGTTAAACCAACCTCAACCAAATGATAGTCTGATGTGTATGTCTTACTGAGTGAAGGAAAGCAACCACTTTTGTCAAAACCACAATAGCAAATGAATAACCATAATGTGCTTTCATTGGTGTTGACTGAAGATGTGATATTAGCTAGGAAAATGTTGAAACTGTCTTCATTTTAAATTGCACTATGGGATCTTTTATTATCCTTTCCAAAGGTGGTTACATCAACAATGCAGCACTGCCTGGTTACTGCGGCAGTATTTTCCTAGATGCGATCTCCCCTCCTGCACAGAGTCCAAAGACCATAAGATGTGGTAGCCGAAACAGGCCATTTGGCCTATCAAGTCTGCTCTGCCATTCAATGAGATCATGGCTGATCTGATAAGCCTCAACTCCACTTTCCCACCTTTTCCCCATAAACGCTGATTCCCTTACTGATTAAAAATCTCTCAACTTTAAATATACTTAATGATCCAGCCTTTCCAGCCTTCTGCAGTAAATAAATTCCACAGATCCACTATCCTCTGAACAAAATAAATCCTCCTTATGTCCGTCTTAAACGGGTGGCCCCGATTCAGAGATTATTCCTTCTGATCCTAGACTCTCCCATGACGGGAAACAACCTCCCCTCTTATATTTTGCTTGTAATTACAATCTTTGGACTTGTGAGAATGCTAAGACAACACAAACAAACTTGCACAAAAGGTTCAATTTATTTTCAAGGCTTCACACAGAGTAAGGGAAATGTTAACTGGTTCATCTTGACCTCCTCGACTAGAAACAGTCATGATAGATATTTGATTGTTGAGGAAAATCTACAGAAAATTGTAAAACTGCAGCAGCCTACACTCCACATGCCACAGGAAGTATACACAAATTACTGTTTAAATGTACCAATTTAATGGATGCAGCAAATCCCATTGGATTTGTTTATAAAATTTGATATTGTACTGTAGAGAAAGTGACACAAAACTCTGTTGGGAGTACACCATTCAGGTAGTACTTTGTTCAAAACTATGAAACCAATCGAGATATCACTTACATTTTGTCCAAATAAGTTCACCATCATGATACATTTCAAGAGTAATCACTATGAATAAAGTTATATCCTGTCTTCCTTTTTAAAAAAAAAGGCATTGACAAACTCCTCTTGGAACATTTAGCGGCTTGAATTCACAACTGTCACATCTTCTCAGATCTTGTCCCCATTCTTCAAACAGTAACACTGCCTCAGACCCGATATTCAGCTACTCCTAATATCCAGCAACCTAAATCAATTTAACTAACAATCCACTCCCTCCACCATCACCCAAAGCCCATGACCTTTCCTATCAACATCTGCACAATTTCCTTTCATGACAGTCAAAAGTTACAGTTTGTTCTTTCATTTTGGGAAGGCAGACAATCTCCTTTGAGAACACCATTTGAAACTGCTGCAGGACTGTTCAAGTCTGTAGCAAAGTTGCTTGCTTGTCCTCTTTCAAGCTGTTACTAAAAGAATTCCACAACATGTTCTGAAGGAGGGTCTAGGCCCGAAACGTCAGCCTTCCTGCTCCTCTGAAGCTGCTTGGCCTGCTGTGCTCAAGCAGCTCTACACCTTGTTATCTCAGATTCTCCAGCATCTGCAGTTCCTACTATCTCTCCACAACTTCATATGGGTTTTCAGTCTGGAAATGTGAGGCTAATCAAGAGTTTCAATGCTCGCTTTGAAATTGTGATTATTTACAAACAATCTGGTTATGAAATACCAAAGCCATTTTCTTCATGGTCCCTTACGATCAATAAACAAACATTCAACAATCTTAATAGGAGCTTGAATCTCACGTTTTTAACAACTAATGATCTACAACAATTCATGAATTATTGATTTAAGAAAATTATTCACTATGTAAATAGTTGAAGGCACCTCAAACGTTAAGTTGCGACCTACATCACACCAAGATAACACCAGAAGAAGGCTGCTGACCCTTCGTGTTGGCCTGGAACCTCTAGAAATTATGAGATTAATTTCCGGGACACTGCTGCAGACAAATCAGGAGAAAAGTATGTGGCAATAATGTGTGTACTTTTTTTCCATTTTCTTTGAACACTTCTGTTGATTAGTCATTTTAAAAGTGCAAATGGTTGAGGCAAAGGAAGGTAAATGTTATTTGACCAAACACCGTAGTTGGGGCAGGTTGTACGATTGAAATTCCCAGAAATATGCTCAAACTTGGCATTCCTACACCTGGGAACAAATAAAATCAAACATTCAAGTAGCCACTACTTCCATGATAATATGGAAGATGCACAATAAAATAATGTATTTTTTAAAAAACTCTATATAAGGCAGAATTATAAAAACAGTTTGATATAAAATTTCATGGAAGCCAAAAAGAATGAGAAAGAATGGTGGCAAATAGATTGTACATTTTCTCAAATAAATCTGAATACTTATTAAAAATAATTTGCATTATGCAAAAGCATCAAGCAGTTCATTCCCATACCAATGAAGGACTGAATCACTGTATTGTTTAACCAATGTCTAACAAGGAAATTTTCTCCAAAATGGAAAATCTGAAGCCATTATTTAGAAACCTTGCTCAAGACTGAATTTCCGAGATCCTCTCCCGAGCAACTGAGACTAAACCAATCTGTTCATAACCTTGGTTTTATATTCGATTTGGTGAAGAGTTTCCAACTTCATATCTCCACAGTTACTAAGACTGCCTATTTCTACCTGTGTAATGACACCCGACTTCACCAGTGCCTCAACTCAACATAGAACATAGAACAGTACAGCGCAGTACAGGCCCTTCGGCCCTTGATGTTGTGCCGACCTGTGAAACCAATCTGAAGCCCATCTAACCTAAACTATTCCATTATCATTCATATGTTTATCCAATGACCATTTAAATGCCCTTAAAGTTGGCAAGTCTACTATTTTTGCAGGCAGGGCATTCCACGCCCTTACTACTCTGAGTAAAGAACCTACCTGTGACATCTGTCCTATATCTATCGCCCCTCAATTTAAAGCTCATCCATTTATTTAAGCTTCTTCTAACTTTAGATTTGACTATTCCAATACACCTTGCATCGTTCTCACATATTCTATTCTCAGAAAACCTGAGGCCATCCAAAACTTTGCCTCCTCGGTCCTTACTCACACCAGGCCCTACAACCACACCCCCTTCCCTTGTCACCTTTGTGCTTGCTGACCTAAATGAGTTCCTGATCTAGTATAGAAGGTTATAAAATTTTTATTCTTGTACTCAAGTCTCCATCCCGGCGATCCCTGTAATCTTGTCCAGGCCCACAACCCTCAGATATCTGTGCTGGTGTCTTGGGTATCTTGATTTTAATCACTGGTGGCTGCACCTTCAGTTGCTCAGGTCAGAAGC